CTGTAGTTATAGGTAAGGACCCCTGACACTTCATTTTATGTTTTTATTTTTTCTTCGTTTGCCTTTTCTACTTTTATCCTTTGCCTTTCTTTTCTCTTTCTTCTTTTTTCTTCATCTTTGTTATGGTCCAGGTTAGGACCATGGAAGAACAAATTTCAAACACAAGAGTAGAAATAACGAAGGTATATTACACGAAATAATAATACAAGATATGGAAGGTGTTATATGACTGTCAGTCTGGTTTGGAGTGAACTACTATCGGCTCGACTCGATTCGGTATCTAGCCACCTCCTCACGAGGGTTGCATGTGGCACAAGGCCGAGTTTAACGTGGGTTTTCCGAGCCCGTAGGCTCGGCCAAAAAATGCCCGTAGAACCCGTAAAAACAGAATCGGGTTGGTCAACCTCCCCGAACGAGACTCTGCCCTTCGTCGGAACCTCGTCCGGGTTCCTCTCTGCTCCGTGAAAGAGAGTTCGACCATCAAGCCGAAACGGTTCGACTCGATTCCGTATCTAGCCACCTCCCCACGAGGGTTGCATGTGGCACAAGGCCGAGTTTAATGTGGGTTTCCCGAACCCGTAGGCTCGGCAAAATAAATGCCCGTAGAACCCGTATAAACGGGATCGAGTTGGTCAACCTCCCCGAACGAGACTCGGCCCTTCGGCTGAGCCTCGTCCGTGTTCCTCTCTGCCCAGTGGCAGACAGTTCGACCGTCAAGCCGAGAAGCTCGGCTTGATTCGACCCTCTCTCTTGAGAGGTGTAGTATACATAGTTTTAGGAAGAGTTCATTCTGTAGTTATAGGTAAGGACCCATGACAAAAATGAATGTTCACAATTAACGACCATAAATACGCACAGAGGATTATATAAATTTTACTGACTTCCTTTTGGTATAAAGGTAGCACCAGCTATTTGCCAACAATCTAGGGATACCATGCTTACGGATTGCAACTTCGCTGTAGCGTATCTCGGCGATATTTTAATCAGAAGTGTGTCGAAAGGAACAATATATTGGCCATGGCAAAACAATTTTGGAAATATTAAGAGTACAGATTCAAGCTCAGTGAAGAAAAATGTGAATTGTTTTAGCCAAAATTTAAATACCTTGGTCAAATTATTTATAAAAATGGTCGTCAATAAGTTCCGTCGAATGTAAGTGCAATTAAAAACATGCCACCAACAACAAACGTGACTACGTTACAAGCTTGTCTAGCACTTGCTAATTGCTTTCAAATATATGTACATAATATGCATAATCTGAGAGCTCCACTGGACGATCTACTTAAAAAAGGATTAAGGTGGAACTGGAATGATAACTGTTAAAAGGCGTTTGACGAAGTAAAAAAAGAAGACTTACGCCAGATTTATCATAGTACACTACGATCCAAAAGCAGAAATTGTAGTGGCGTCAGATGCTAGTGAGTATTGGAGCAATAATTTTACACAAATACGATGGTGGTAAAATGAAAGCCTTCGCTCATGCTTGACAATCGCTTCTACCAGCAGATAAAAATTACAGCCCGATAGAAAAAGAGGTTCTAGCAATTATATTTGCTGTGAAGAAATTTCATAAATTTATTCATGGAAGAAAATTTTTTTATTGTAAACAGACAACAGCCCTCTATTTACAATATCTCTTTCAAAAAAAAAGGAATAGCTACATATACAACTAATAGACTACAATGCTGAGGTACCATCTTATTAAACTATGATTTTACAGTTGGGTACGGACCGTCTGCATAATTAGGACATGCTGATGGACTTTCAAGATTAATACTGCAAAAATGCGGATCCCTTTGAGGACACGTTTAGTGCATCACTAATATGCGGAAGGGAAATAAATAAATAAAAAACATTTTACACAGCGTAATACGAGAGTTGTCAGTTAACATGGAAGAAGAAAATGGCGTCTTCATTGCGAAAATAAAAAAAAAACAGTTGAAAGAAAATAACAAAGAATGAAATCAAAATTTAAACGCTTACTCGTTATCCAACGATGTAGGAATGTTCAGGCAAAGGGTTTAATAACTAGTGTGTTTCAAAAGTGAATATTGAAGGATTTTCATCGCGGACATCCTAGCATTTCAAGAATGAAATCTCTGATGAGAAATTTCGTATATTGGAACAGAACGGAAAAGATATTAAAAAAAAATAGTGAAAGTTTGCAGAGGTATTGTTCTATCAGCAAAACTATCTATCACAAAGTTAGAACCTTGGCTAAAGACAGACAGACCGTAGTCAAGACTGCAAACAGATAAGGCAGATTTTATGAATTGATCACATTATCTTGGCGGTAGCTGATAGTTTAACTCAATGGCCAGAAAACTATAAGTGCAAAAATCAAACATTTTCAGTGACACTGAATTACTTGCATAAACTTTTTGCGTGATATGGCATACCAGATACCATGATCTTTGAATTACGGAATGCAGTTCACGGATAAAGAATACCAAGATTTTTGTAAGATGTTCTCCACTGAAAATATTACGGACCTGCCGTTTCCCCCAAGGTCTAACAGACAAGTTGAATGGTTTGTGGGAATGTTCAAAATAATGTTGAAGGAAGCAATTCTTGAGAAATTAAAAGAGGAAGCCCTGAGAATTTATCGGGTAACACTTAACCGCAATACACCATCAGGCATGTCGAGGGTGGAATTACTGATGTCACAAAATGGCTGGAAATTTATACCTGCAAAAATCCAACATCCTCAGTGAAAGTGAATTTCTTTTATGAAGTGTTTGAGATATGGCACACCAGATACAATGCTATCCAATAACGGAACAAAGTTCACGGATAAAGAATTCCAAGATTTTTGCAAGATGTTCTCCACTGAACATAAGGCAATATTCACCTTTTGTTGATCATTGTTACCGAGACGTACTAACGCACGTCGGATCTAACTGTTGGAGTGTACACATTAATAAGATTTCTCGAATGCATAATCCAAGAGCTCCACTGAACGATCTACTTAAAAAAAGGAGTAAGATGGAACTAGAATGATAACTGTTAAAAGGCGTTTGACGAAGTCAAAAAAAAAGACGTACGCCAGATTTATCACTAGCACACTACGATCCAAAAGCAGAAATTGTAGTGGCGTCAGACGAACGTCCTGGATATGACAATAAAATACACCCAGCACCAAGACTTCTGATCAGGAGTTTTTGAAAAGCGTGGAACCACTTCTTAATTGCTAGTGTTCCCAAGGATAAATTAAAAAAAAAAATAAACAAATTACCAGCGATAGATTTTTGTAAAAAGAAAAAATTCCTCAAGCTCCCAAGAAAAATAAATTTTGGCATTATATGACCCATAACGAATTGAGATAGAATAAACAAACAAGTTCGGTAGACGAAAATAAATAAATATACTGTCTAATAACTAAACGGATACGTCTACTCAAATATGAGCGTCCACTAAAAATAATGTTTAAGTAATATATATATATATATATATTTATATATATATATATACACGCACCTGTATATGTATAGATATACATAAATCATGTAATTTATGGACATTATTTATCATCTTTTAGTTGCGTCTCTGTCTGAGGACAGAGATGCAACTGAGGAATATTATAGTGAAGAGGTGCCCAGCCCTGGGAACAGCTCCCCGAGGCCGCGCCCTCCCATTGCACAAGAGGGAGGGATCGGTGCTCGCACCGAAGCCAGCGCAACCGACGGTTGTGGGGGCTGAGGGGAATTTTTGTCCCTGCCCGAGTGTACACGCTCGGGTCCCCACATTAATCCGACCTTGTGTCATATCTCAATCTCCTGGTGGGGATGAGTAAACACCGTATATGTATACATATATATGCGTGCATATATATATATATATATATATATATATATATATATACCAGCTATGGGTAAATGCCAGGACAGACTGGGTTCTAGGACCTTGGATGGCAACTGGTCAAGGAGAAGGACAACTCTGAATTCAAAACCTGCGGGGGGTTGTTTGGGTACCTTGTGGCACTCGGTGCACCAGGTCTCTGTATTCGGCCCTTCAAAAAGTGTGGATGGTCCTGCACGAAACCTTCACCACTATAATCAAATCTCATGTGCTGTTGTCGGGCTGTCCGTTTTCTTCGAAACTGATCTGCTTGACCCTCATACGTCGAACTCGACGGGAGAGTCGACTATATATATATATATATATATATGTATAATTATTTTCTAAAAATATGATTCCATCGCTACATAAGAGTTCTCATGTTTCAAAAACAGGAGCCAAAAACTTCAATTTAATTATAAAAATTAAATTGAATTAAAGTATCAAGCTCTGTTTCATCTTCAAGCAAAATTTTTGGAATTATAATTTAGGCTCTACTTTGTATTGAGCACTAAAAAACTTCAGATTATTAACCTGACGTATTCTTTTCTATTTTTCTATATATTTGCACTCGCGCGCACACACACACACACACACACACACACACACACAATCGTGGCCTTGTGTCAGAGTAAACTAAGCTTACTCAATATTTCTATAGGACATTAATGTTAGCAAGCTGATTTCAAGCTGATTTCAAAGGTTACGGTTAGGGCGCGCCCTAAAATATTAACCTTGTGTCAGACTAAATAGCAAGGAAGAGTCAATGTCCATATAGAGCACGATGGTTAGCAAGTTGGCTTCACAGGTCGAGGTTAGTGAATGTCTCAATATTTTGGCCTTGTGTCAGACTAAGCAACTAGACTTAGTAAAGACCGTTATGAAGCACGGCGTTTAACAAGTTATTTTGCAGAGGTGGAAGCAAGTGAACGCACTAATATTTTGGCCTTGTGCCAGACTAAGTGACTTTAACCTCCATCTCCCATTTTGTGTTTAATTCTTTGTTTACCCCCTGGACAATTGGCAACCAGTTATTTTGGAAATTATTCGATTTACCAGATCACTATCAATGGCCTTTGAGATCGCTTCTGAACGACGAGTCAACTGCAAGTGTCCCGTTTAGTTAACACAAGCTCAATTTGTCTTGCTCGAGGACGTCGTGAATGGGGCTGGGTCGGGTGGTGAGAAATATCCATAACAAAAGCTACACCCCCCTCCCCACTCCACCACCCACGCAGACACAAACACACACACACACAAACACACACACAAACACACACACAAACACACACACACACACATACACACACATAACCCAGAAGGCCACGCAAACACAGTTATTTCTGAAGTTATTTATAACGGAGTTGTTAACATTCAACAAACAGACACCGTGGCGCCTTTTTTTTTCCACGGGTACAAACCCTTACCTCCTCTCCTGCTACCCGTTACCTACCATCTGCCCTACCACCAACGGTAACCACCCGCATACGAACTACTCCATTTCTTCTCCAAGCCCACAACATGGAACACTAGTGACACCTACCCGACTGTTACTACCACCCGAATCGTTCGCCTCTACCCGCTTACAGCCAACCACCAATCATCGAACTTTTTCTTTCTACCCCGACACTTGTCCCTCATCTAACAAGCTAAAAAATTATAAAAATATTATATACACACACACACATATATATATATATATATATATATATATATATATATATATATATATATATATACCTTCCAAGTTTTATATTAATAACACCGACAAGCTCTGTCTATTCAGTTTTGTTATAATGTCTTTCCAATTACAAACTGAAGTGTGTTTTATATCGGGAATTTTTTTTAATCATTTCACCCCGAGGAAGGCGATAATACCCTAAGATGCAGGTGGTTGCTACTGAAAGGGAAAGGGAATTAGAAAAAAAGACTTTAGAACGAATCGGAAACTTGATCCTAAACAGGAAACAAGAACCTGTCTATATTTCTGAGACGATGTATTGTTAACTATCAGGTCATCCCATAAGTTCTGTCCGAATTTTGAATAAAGAAAACAAGTGACAAAAAGTTACATTTAATTACAGATTCAATCAACAATCTATTTTTCCTGATTATCTATGATTTCCTTCCATCTATTAACAAGCTTACTAATTCCATTACTGTAAAATTCTTTTGGCTTTGATTCGAAGAACTCACAACCTTTTAACCTTTTCCTGTGTTACAAAAGCTGTTTCTTCCAAAGGATTCTGTAAGCTACGAAACAAATGGTAGTCTGAAGGAGCAAGATCGGGAGAATAAGGTGGATGAGGAATTTTCTCCTAACCAAGTTCTTCGATCATTTGTGACGTGATTCTTGCTGTGTGGGGTCGCGCATTGTCCCGATGAAACATCACCTCTTTTCGATTCACTAGAGCAGGTCTTTTTTTTTCCTCAAAACTTGGTTCAAACGCTCTAATTGCTGACAGTATATTTGAGCATTAATTGTTGCATTAGGTGGTAAGAATTCAAAGTGGATTATTCCATGGCGATCCCACCAGATTGAAAGAAGAATCTTTTGCCCATGAAGTTCCCTTGTCGGCTGTGGTTAGGGTCCTTCTCCTTTACCAAGCCATTGTCTACGATGCTTAACATTTTGATAAAAGATCCATTTTTCGTCGCCAGTCACAAGTCTATCCAAAAAAGGTGAAACAATTTGGCGAGAATGGAGAGAAGAGCAGATGTCAACTCGAGATTTGAGGTTGTTTTCAGACAATTCATGAGGCACCCATTTTCCAAGTTTAGGAACTTTTCTAAGTTGTTGAAGATGACGATGAACAATTGTATGGTTTGAACTGAGGACCACTGCCAATTCCTCAACTGATAAAGCAGGATTTTCTTCAAGGGCTGCTTCAAGAAGCTTTTCATCAAACTCAACTGGACGTCCGGTTCAATCTTCATCTTCAAGGCTGAAATCTCCACCTCTGAATTTTGCAAACCATCTTCTGCAAGTTCTTTCATTCACACATTCCTCTTCATAAACTGAGTGAATATTTCTAGCCGCTTTGGCTGCTGAGTTTCCTTTCTTGAACTCATAAAGCATTATGTGCCTCAAATGATTCTTGGGTACTTCCATGTTGGCAGGGTTTTAATCAAACAAAATTTAATTTTATTGTTCTCTGAAATAAAATTTGATCAGTTTAAATGCATCTAAACATAAAAATAATGTTCAGCTCCATTAGACATTATAAAATAATCTTTAAATTTCGTTCATTTTAACATAAAGTTAAAATTCGGACAGAACTTATGGGATGACCTGATACATCAGTCACAGAAAAATGAATAGCACGCCTAAATCATCAGTAAAATAACGTTTATTAAGCTTCTGTTTATTTCGTTTCGTTCTCACTTGTTCACTCACACAATCTCTCATACATAATCACATACATAATCAATGATTAGGTACAATGTTTCTTGATTTTGTATCATTTCCTTGAAGGTGATATTGTCAGTATTTTAAACCATTGGCGATTTTCACTAAGGAAGATCCTAAATGCAAACATCCTTTGTTTCAAGAAACAGGAAACGTGAATGATAATTATTTTTGCCGCTATATAAGTATAAATTCACCTTCATGTCTGACTTATGGGTGGAATCTCCGTCGGTTACTAAATTAATGGGGTTTCGATCACGGCTTGGGGCGATCGGATACCTAGCCACACTGTTGAGCTGCGAAACAGTCTGTCTGTGTATGACTATATATGTAGTATAACGGTATGTACATTTTTAGGGAAAAGAAGTAGGAAAAGGTGGGGAAATTTTCCGCATGCTGCGTTTCATGATTTAGAACTTCACTAGACTAAAGCAGTCATTGGCAAACAACGACCCGCGGGCCACATGCGGCCTGACTGGCTATCTGGATGACGCGCCTAATTTCATAAGAAAAATAACATTCAGCGTATTATACATGGGGAATTATGGTAGTCAGCTTGACCTTTTTTCTGTTCGGCATTTTGTGCATTTGACACTTTGTCCTTCGACACTCTGGCCATCTACCAGATACTGTAGCAGACATCGATACGAAGAGTGTAATCTGCGATCCGGGTTCAACTCCCTATCTAGTCTTAGATTTACTCTTGCACAAATATTCATTGTAAAATCATAAATCTATCTGTTCTCTCTTCTATTATGTGTTAAATAGTAGGGTAGACTGAGCTGCTTAGACTTGGTTGGTAACCAGTCTAATAAAAGCAAAAATCTCAATAATAATAAAAAATAGAGAAAACAACGGGAAATTACAATTGTGGTAAAAATAATATTTTTACTTATTTATGAGGAAATTATGACCATAGCAAAATATAATTAAAGATTATGAATGATGCTTTTAAGATAAAATAAGTACTAATTCAGTACCAAATATATTATCTATCAAAAATATCTTTTAATCTTTTGTTTACAATTGTGTATTTTTTCTATTTTCTTTCAAGATCACCGCCTTTATGTCCATTCGTCATTTACTCAGTTCGACTCTTTTATTCCGTTCGGAAATTTGTCAATTCGACACTTTGTCCATGCGACACTTGGTCTATCCGTCATTTTGTTTATCGACGCTTTGTCCATTCGTCATTTTGTTTTTCGAGACTTTGCACATTTGTTATTTTCTCTTTCGACATGTTGTTCATTGGACATTATGTTCGTTTGACATTTTGTCCATTCGTCATTTTGTCCATTCGACACTTTGTTCGTTCGACATTTTGTCCATTCGTCATTTTATCTATTCGTCATTTTGTCCATTCGACACTTTGTTCGTTCGTCATTTTGTCCATTCATTATTTTGTCCCATTCGTCATTTTGTCCATTCGTCATTTTGTCTATTCGTCATTTTGTCCCTTCGACACTTTGTTCGTTCGACATTTTGTACATTCATCGTTTTGTCTATTCGTCATTTTGTCTATTCGTCATTTTGTTCGTTCGTCATTTTGTCCATTCGTCATTTTGTCCATTCGACACTCTGACCTACTACCATGAAAACTGGTTTCCCAGAGGTAAGTTTTAGTCATTTATGAAGCTTTGTATTCGTTTGTTCTGTCAGCTCTCTTTACGATTGATATTGGTACCAATTAAACCAGTATGACCGACAACATAGTCAAGACATTAGTGACTAAACCGGTTCCCCCACCAGACGTTTCCGGTGAAGAAGATAGCTTGTTACTAATCGGGGTTAAAAAAAAAAAACATAAAAGGGCGGATGAGCCTTCTTGAAGGGTTCACCTAGCACAGTGGGATAGACTGGGTTCCATGGCGATGTACGCAAACAGTGCCGTGATGACCCAGCCAGGGTGAAGGTTTCCCCTGATGGAATCAACTGCCACGTGTCCGTCTCCAATGTGAGTCTTCAAGTTAGGGGACATTGCCGGTGTTTTTTTGTTGTTTTTTTTTTCAGCTGAGAGATGGGCTTCGCTAAGTCGATTTGGCTAAGACAGGCTTTCAACCCAGATATGTGGAGGGAATTGATCAGCAGGCGCTCAGCAGCGCAGTGACCCTACGACCACACTCGGCCATGTGACTGATGATGATGATATTCGAGTGATCTGGCTTCGAGACCTTTCTGGAAATATTATTTCGGAGACAACAGGCAAGGATCACAAGAGTGGCTGTGGAATATTATTATAGGGCTCTTCAAAGTTGACGGGGTCCAAAGATAAATGCAGGGAATTATCAGAAGGTCTTGGTGAAAATGTGTTTTGAGTGATACGGGTCCGAACCCGTAGGGTGTGCAGGTGGTGCAATGGAAAGCGGCTCGAAATGAGAAGTCGGAGAACTGGGTTCGAATTTAAGTCGAGTTGGTTACATCCACTTTCGCGAAAATATACTTGAGAAAAATATGACCACCCAACTATGGGTTAAACAGTAGAATTTGTATGTGGAAAAATCCATATTATCTCCCCCAAAATTATTTATGTAATATTCACTCACAAAAAATATTCGCACACTCTAACATATGTTTCGGCTTTACTCTTTGAACCCTGACCACCGGTTGAGCAGTGGTAGAGAAAAATGACGTAATACCCAGCCGCCGGTTGAACGGTGGTAGAGGAAAATTAAGTAATGCCCAACCATCGGTTGAACGGTGGTAGAGAAAAATAACTTAATGCCCAGCCACCGGTTGAACGGTGGTAGAGAAAAATGACGTAATGCCCAGTCACCGGTTGAACGGTGGTAGAGAAAAATGACTTAATGCCCAGCCACCAGTTGAACGGTGGTAGAGAAAAATGACTTAATGCCCAGCCACCGGTTGAACGGTGGTAGAGAAAAATGACTTAATGCCCAGCCACCAGTTGAACGGTGGTAGAGAAAAAATGACTTAATGCCCAGCCACCGGTTGAACGGTGGTAGAGAAAATGACTTAATGCCCAGCCCCCGGTTGAACGGTGGTAGAGAAAAAATGACTTAATGCCCAGCCATCGGTTGAAGGGTGGTAGAGAAAATGACTTAATGCCCAGCCATCGGTTGAACGGTGGTAGAGAAAAATGACTTAATGCCCAGCCCCCGGTTGAACGGTGGTAGAGAAAAATGACTTAATGCCCAGCCACCGGTTGAACGGTGGTAGAGAAAAATGACTTAATGCCCAGCCACCGGTTGAACGGTGGTAGAGA